GCAGCTCCCGGTACCGGTTTGCTCTCTCGGCAGAACGCGCTGGTTCTCCCGTTCGCCCCTGCCATGGATATGGGAAAACGCAGCTACCGCCCGCCCGGTAAGGAGCGAGGCGGCTGGTGGCGTGAAGCGCCTTGCACCACAATAATCTACTTGAGAAGCCAAGCGGCAGTGAAGAGAAAGGCAGGAGCTAACCGTCACACTGCCAGCGGGCTGCTCCCTGGGCTGGCTTTATAGGAGAGCGTTCAGATCCTCTTTTTTTTCTGGGGGACCTTGACAAGGTCTTGGGATGACTGGAGTGAGACATCCCAGATGGAGGTTAAATGAAACTCACTCCCTACGCGGTGGGGGAGCAAATAACTTAATGTTTGCCTCTGTGTTTGCTCTTCTGTCTGATCACAGTGTTCCTTGATCTGTCAGACATCGTCCAGGCCTCGGGGCTGCGCTCCAGGCATCAGCTGCATTGGCAGGGGCTGCTCCTAAGTCCCAGCGACATTTTATTAATTTGAGTCTGCCACAAAGCATTTGCTTTTAGAAATAAAGGCTTGGTGCTGCAGATTGAAAATTAAGTGGGTTTGTTGCTTTTGTAATACACTTAGGAGCCTCTTAACCAGACACAGCCTTGGAGAAGTGAACTGTTTGTGGGGGCAGGGAGCCACCCACCCCCTGCTCCCCAACCTGCTCTGCCCAGGTTGGAGTGGGCCCCAGAGCATATTCCTGCAGCTGTCACAATGGTTCTTGTGCTTAGGGTATAACTGGGCCAGGGCAGACGTGGCACTGTTGTGCTCCCACACCAGCTCTCCTGGCAGGAAGGGGCTCCTGAAACTACAAGGTGCCTTAGGAAACTGCATCCAGAAAAGCAGTGTGAAATGCACACACTTAGCACCTCTCCAGATTCAGCCACCTCACGCTGTTTCCTGGCAAATCATCTCAGTGGTACAGACCCAGCCCTGGCAGCATCTGAGGAAATCCAGACTAATCTCCCGTCTCCCTGCTGTGTTTGTGACCTGTTGGGTGTCCCCCAAGTTCTGTTACCAAAGGAGTGCAAGCAGCCATGGCCAGGACAATGCTGTCCAGTTGGCGAGGCCGAGGGAGGCCTCATTAGAGCTCATTTGTACTGATTACAGACGATCCTCCCTAATCTCTCAGTTTAAACTGCAATGTGCTCGGGTCAGAAGCACAACTTCAAAGCACATAAACACTTTGTGTGTCACCAGGTTACTGCCACAAGCTGCAAAAGTGACGTGGGAAGGGGGATGGTGTGAATCAGCAGCAGGCTGAGGGGATGGCTGGGGCAGAGGGAACAAACAGCAGTGGGTGTAAATCCTCCTATTTCCAGTCCTGAAACTCTCTAGGGCAGCAAAGGTGCCACTGAGGGCCCCACACAGCCCCATGTGTGGCCCAGGTGGGCTGACACAGGTGGCCCCCGAGGGCTTTTGCAGGTCACACTCCCATACACGAAATGTCACCATGCAGCCAGTGACTGGGGCTTCTTTATCAACCTACCATCAAACTGCTCAGCCCAGACCAAACGTG